AATCTTAAGGGGGCGCCTGGGTGGCGCAGTCGGTTAAGCGTCCGACTTCAGCCAGGTCACGATCTCGCGGTCCGTGAGTTCGAGCCCCGCGTCAGGCTCTGGGCTGATGGCTCAGAGCCTGGAGCCTGTTTCCGATTCTGTGTCTCCCTCTCTCTCTGCCCCTCCCCCATTCATGCTCTGTCTCTCTCTGTCCCAAAAATAAATAAATGTTGAAAAAAAAAATTAAAAAAAAAATTCAATCTTATACACAATTAAATGCTGTAAAATAAATATAAAGAAAAATATATTAGAACAAAAGGTGATTTAGAAAACAAATATTCCCATTATAGAATATTACAACCCCACTGCTCTTTCAATTCCCACTCACTCTTCAAGACTTAGCTTTGGCATCACTGTCTGCAAAGCTCTCTCTGCTTCCTTTTCATCTGGATGACCAAACTCTCTTCTGAATGAACTTTTGGACATAATTATTTTTTTAAGTTTATTTATTTTTGAGAGAGACAGAGACAGCATGAGTCAGGGAGGAGCGGAGAGATAGAGGGAGAGAAAGAATCCTATGCAGTCTCCACGCCGCCAGCACAGAGCCCAATGCAGGGCTCCAACCCACAAAACTGTGAGATCATGACCTGAGCCAAAACCAAGAGTCGGACACCTAACCGACTGAGCCACCCAGGTACCCATGGACATAATTATAAAAGCAAGGAAGTTCCGGGGCACCTGGGTGGCTCAGTTGGTTAAGCGCCCGACTTCGGCTCAGGTCATGATCTCGCGGTCTGTGAGTTCGAGCCCCGCGTCGGGCCCGTGTCGGGTTCTGTGCTGACCGCTCAGAGCCTGGAACCTGTTTCAGATTCTGTGTCTCCCTCTCTCTCTGACCCTCCCCTGTTCATGCTCTGTCTCTCTCTGCCTCAAAAATAAATAAACGTTAAAAAAATTTTTTTTAATAAAAAAAGCAAGGAAATTCCTTTTATTTTAATCTTGAAATTAAGAAGGAAATGGGGGCATTGCCTGAACTCTTCATACCTGTTTTGTGCTTGTCTTCTTCACTAGAAATGAAGGTAGGAACAATGTTGGTCTTGGTCACTTCTGGTTGCCCAATGCCCAGTTTACTGCCTGGCACACAGGGGTGTCCAATGACCAACAATGATCAAAGGAATGCATCAGGGGCCCTGCCCCTCAAGTGTTGTTGCAAAATGGAAAATTACTGTAATTTATCTGGTTCTGTATTATTCCTTGAAGATAAAAGCAAATATACGCTGTAATTTACATTAGAGTTATGTTTAAATATCTTTGACAATAAAATCAGTGTTCAACAAATGTTTAAGATCTTTCTGTGAAGAAACTATTTTTCCTTGATTCAAGCCTGGCATCTAATGACAGTGCCCCTAGCTAAATCTTCACAGCTTATATCTAACCCAGTTTAGGGATCTGGGCAAGAGATAAGAAATCCAGGCTGAACTCAGAAGTAGTCTGTGAGCTCTAAAGAAAATTTTAACCCACTCGCTATGGTCGTGAAAGTTTATAAGCACTACTTGTGGTGTCCAAGCTAATGTTTTAACTTCTCTTTGAATTATTTTTCAAGACTGTGGCCAACTCAGTGAGTCTTGGACAGCTTTTCGCTCTCCTTCACCTCTGGCTTCATACCTACTTCTCCAATGTTTCTTTACTGCTGTTTTCCTTCATTCTCAATTCCACAGCACTAGTTTAGGTTTCTCATATTTTACATCATAATGAACTTCTTCCTCTGCGATGTGGCTGGCTGATCCATTTTGCCTCCAGGATTGTATTCCCAAAGGGCTACAGATAAAGAAATATGTCACCATCCTCCCTGGGAATCCTCCTTGGATCCCCAGAATCAGAATCAGTTCTGCACTCTATGATGTTCCCCTCAAAGTTCTCTATGACAGGGGCCCACTTCCCTGTGACAGACACGTCCTCTTCCCAGGCCCTCCAGGTGTCAAACACTCAGGGCATCCTGGATATTCACTCTCTTGTCAATCCAGCATAGGCTCCACATACCAGGCCTTTGCTCAGATCTGCCCTTCTTTTTTGCTAGTTTCTGCTCACCTTTCAAGACTCAGCTTTGGCACCACCACCTGTAAAGTTCCCTCTACTTCTTTTCCAACTGGGTGACCTGTCTCTTTCGAATGTACTTGTGGGCATAGTTATAACAGTGAGTGGTGTTCCTTTTACTTTAATCCTGGGATTATAAAGGATGGGGGGGGGGTTGCTGATTATACCTCTCATATCTGTTCCATGTTTATCTGTTTTTGCCTGTCAACATTCTGCTTATCTTCCAAAACTAAGCTCAGATGCTTGCCCCACTAGGATGCCTTCTCCAAACCCCTTTCTCTTCCTTCTTCAGTTTTTCCACAGCAATTCTGTCATTCTGCTTTGCATCACTGTGT